AAAAAAAAAAAAAAAGTCAAATAATGAACAAATGTTTTAGGCCCAGGAAATGTAACTTAAGGAAACTCACCCATAAAAAGGAATAAACAAAGAAATGAAATAAAAAGCAAAATAGATAAAGCTTTAATGCAACTCCAGTGACTGGCCGGGCATGGTGGCTTATGCCTGTAATCCCAGCACTTTGGGAGGCCAGGTGGAAGGATTGCTTATGCCCAAGAGTTCAATACCAGCCTGGGCAACATAATGAGGCCCCATCTCTGCAGAAAATAAAAAGATTAGCCAGGTGTGGTGGCACATGTGTGTAGTCCTAACTACTCAGGAGTCTGAGACAAGAGAATCACCTGAGCTTATGAGTTTGAGGCTGCAGTGCGCCATGACTACACCACTGCACTCCTGCCTGGGCAGTGGAAGAGGACCCCGTCTCTGTTTTAAAGAAGAACTCCGATGGCTATGGCCTGTTTTCTTTCTTCTGTACTGTGGGCACCTGACCAAGCAGTGGCAGGCTGTGACCAGGGACCTACTTAACACCAAATCTAGTGGGACTTTAGCTCTGAGGACAAACACTGCAGAACTGTAAGAACTACAGGCGGCTGCGGCCCACAAAATATGGGCAGGCGATGGTGTCCTAACCGCAGGACCTCTGAATTCAGGTAAGCATTTTATAATGGACATGAGTTAATGAGGGATCAGCAATCAGTGATCCTTTCCCAATAAGGTATAAATTGTGTACAACACTTTACCTTTTCTTCTGGACATGGAGTTATCCATGATTTGCATTTGCCTGTCACGTCACCAAGGGTGGTCTCTTTGCCATTATATACATAAACTCGGCCATCTTCTCCCCCAAGCAGTCCAGAGGTTACATCTGCTATCCTCAGGGGGGCTGCCATGATGATTTCATCTGTAAACAACAAAAACCCACAGAAGGGTCTGACTCCTGTCACCCTTTCCTTGTTCCGCTACTGGATCCTAACCCAACCTCGTGCAAATAATATTAGTGTCTCCTTTAGTCTGCCCTGATTTCATCCTGGCAAAAGCCTTTGTTCCCTCTTCATTCATCAACAGCAATTACCACAGGTCATTCTCATCACCTTGAAGGAGTGCAACTCCCTCTCCCATCTCACCTGATCTAAAGGTCCTTTGGCCACTGGGCTGTCACTTATAAGGGCAGAGCCCAGATGATCCAATTAGGAGATTGGTCTGCTGGGCAAAGGGACTCATTCCTTGGCAACAGGTCCTGTTCCTGTCTTACCTAAGCCATCGTTATCCAGGTCGCTCAAGTGCAGAACGCCACCAAATCGAGAGAAGCGGCGGTCTCCACTGAAGGTGCTGAGCAGCGGGGGCTGTGCAGCGGGTGTGAGCGCATACATCCGAGTGGCTCCGCCCTGGTGCAGGGTCATGGTCAGGAATGCCATCTTAGACACGTCATCTGAAAGGAACCACAGTTCTGCTGGCCTCACAAAAATCAAGGCATTACAGAACACATAACAGCATCTCACTCAAGTGACACCGATCACACGGGATCGTACCACAGTGTCCATTTCAGTGCTGGTCAATTCCAGCAGTCAGGGAGGTACAACCAGCTCGGGCACCATAGTACAAACACAAGAGACGTTCGGTGATTTCCCTCCAGGCAGGTATTCTTTCTTCCAGTCTTATCCCCATCATAGTTTCCACACAACCATCCTTTTACATTCTCACGTCACACACTGCCCAGGTCACCCCCATGACTGACACATCCAAACACATGTGGTCTCAGGATGGAGGCCAAACTCTTCACAGGGCCTTACGCAATCTGACTCCCACCTGGGGACCTAGCACCACTAACTCTTCTACCCATGCTTCACTGTAAGGAACTGAAACCCCAGCCCATTCTGTCTTAAATTTGGGCCTTCGGACATGACGTGCTCTCTGCCTGGAATAGAGGCACACACCCTTCCTGCTCCCCTGCCCACATCCCTCTGCTGGCTACTCCTACTCATCCAGCAGAATTTGGCTCAGGTGTGCCCTCTTCTGGGAAGCCTTTCCTAACCTCCCTGGTCTACAGCAGAGGCGGCTTCCCTGTGCTAACGTATGTAACACCAAGTCCAGTGGGACTTTAGCTCGGGGCACAAATGCTGCAGAACTCCAAGAACTGCAGACAAGCTGGGGCCCACAAAACATGGGCAGGTGATTGTGTCCTGACCCCAGGACCTCTGAGTTCAGGCAAACATTTGATAGTGGACATGAGCTGTGCCCGGTGCCTTCCCAATACCCACAGCAGCGTAGCATCCCTCTGGATTCACTTCTGTGTCTCCTGCCTTAGGCAAACATTCCATAAGCAATGGGGTCACATCTCTGTCCACGGTACCTAGCATGGTGCTTGGTCCTGTACAAGTATTTTAATAAAATGTTTTCTGACTTAATAAATTTTCAGCAGACTAAGTTAGCTGTTGGAATTTCACTGTAAACTCTGTTATTTGGAACGCAGCTTTGATTTCAGAAATATCAGTGTCACCTGTGGGTTGGCGTGGCTGGTGCCCTCTGAGAAGTCTGCCATATGCTGGCAAAGTGTCAGCACATGGATATGATCTCACATCAGTGTCCAGAGTTTTGTCTGTAAAACTGAGCTAATTTGACCTGTGTTGTTTTTTCCCCCCCCCCGGACAAACTTGTGCCTTGTTTATGGGAAACGGTTCACTAGAAGCCACTGAGAGCTCAAAGCAGAGTCACCAGTAAGTCAGAAATAATAGCAAGAAAACAGTAGGAAATAACAAACAGTATTCGTAAAAGCTCAGCAATCTGGAGCTTTCTGATACAGGGTAAACAACCTCACCTGACACAATGCCTCCTAAGAGAACAATGTGCCAATCAAGTATGATAGTTAATATTCAGAGTGAAAGCCCAAAGTATCAAGAAAAGTTGAAATGAGAGAAAATCTTCATTCCCTTTCTTTTCATGCTTTAAAAGGGACCATCAGCTCCCTGGAGCACCCAGGAAAACAGTAATATACTTCCAGCTCTGTCCACTCCCTGCCTCAGTTCTTCCACAGGCAGGAAGGTGCTTAAGGCTTCTCCCTCTGGCCCTGCCACCCACAGGGTGAACGCTGGTCCCACTGCACATGAGAGAATCTCACAGAAGCCACCCCAAGGTCTGGCTTTCGGAGCAAGAATTAGAAATCCTGAATAGGGCTGCCCATTGAGACTGTGTTCTCTACTCCAACTGTGTCAGCTCTTCAGAGGTATATATTTTGATATCCATCTGAATGATTCATGAGTCTACTTTGAAAATGATTTGAAATGCACAAGGATGAGGATGAGTTGTGATTAATCAATACTCCCAAGTCTCTAACATGCATCACACTCTGTTAAAGAAGAGAATATAATTTAAAATAATTTCATCAAAGTGTTTTTTTTTTCATTCTTCAGAATTAAAACAGAAGAATATAGACACTTGGAAACTTCAGCCATTCAAAACACCTCACCCACTGAATCATGCAAATTAAACAATGGATTATCATACACATTTAGACAACTAAGGAGAAAAAACTCAAGGTACTGTTGTAGGCATTTCTGTATTATTTTAGTAATGAAAGTAATTCAAAAGAACTTTGGCTTTTAAAAGGGCTATGTGCAGAGGGCTTTATGAATTCCCAAATTCTACACTGCTGCTGTAACATAGAATTCCTTCTGTAATGCTTAACCTTCCAGTTAAGGACCATTATCTTTTAGACCTCTATGTTGTCTTCATTTCTCCCATAAGCACTAGCGCCTAGGGTTATGTTTGGGTTGTGGGGGTGGCAAGTATTTTTTAAATACACACAGTGTTTTACTTCTCAAGTAGAACTTTTCTTCCAGTGGAGGCAGCAGAAAACAGAACTATTGTAAAACACAGGTGCATCTCACCAACTCTGTTCTTTTGAAAGCCACAGGAAAGAGGCTGTCATCTTGTAATGTGCTTCATACCTGCATCTCAGAAAAACCATAAACCTGCCAGGCATGGTGCCTCATGCCTATAATCCCAGCACTTTGGGAGACCTAGGCAGGAAGATCACTTGAGCTCATGAGTTCAAGACAGCCCAGGTAATGCAGTGAGACCCCCCACTGCTACAAAATAAAACAGGGCATGATGCTACGTGCCTGTAGTCTGAGCTACTGAAGAGGCTGAGGTGGGAGGATCACTTAACCTCAGGAGTTCAAGGTTACAGTGAGCTGTGATCACACCACTGCACTCCAGCCTGGGCAACAGAACAAGGCCCTATCACTTAAAAAGAAAAATTATCAACTCTAAGTTACTTAATGTCACTGGCTTTCTGGATTACTGCAAAAGAGTCAAAACTATGAAGGTATCAAGAAGACCTTTTATATTTGATCATTCTAAAAAGTGTGAAAAATATTCAAAAAAAAAAAAAAAAAAAGCATAAAGAAGATTTATATACTATATATATTTATTTCTGGAGAGGGAGTGAGGCAGGTAGGTAGGCAGGTATCTATACACACACATTTTAAACAAAATGGAGATTGTGTCGATTATAAAATTTTAAATCTGATTCTTTCCACATTTAGGCTATGTCTGGCTTTTTGTTACTGCAAAGAACAGCCATTCCTCCGTATGCAGGGGGACTGGTCCCAGAGCCTTCCACAGATACCTAAATCCACGGATGCTCGAGTCCCTGATATAAAATGGTGTAATGGCCGGTTGTGGTGGCTCACGCCTGTAATCCCAACACTTTGGGAAGCCTAGCCAGATGAATTACCTTAGGTTAGAGAGTTCAAGATCAGCCTGGCTAACATGGTGAAAATACAAAAATACAAAAAAA